TATGCCATAATTTTTTTGAGCAGTGTACTTTTGCTCGAGTGGTCTCAGCTGATTGTCCATCGCGATTGCATATTCTCTCTGAAGGACGTTTTGATCGACGATTCGGGTATTCATGTAAGAACCTCCTTCTTCCGCGGTACTACTGTCGGTTGTTTCCCCGACGATTCCATCGATGCGGCGCGGGCGGCAGCAGGTAAATCCGCCGACGGTTCTATCACTGATACAGAACTGAGCGTGGGTAACGAGACATTCCATTCTTTTTTTCGTTGCGTTTGTTTAGGCGTTAACGCGACTCTGACAAATGGGATAAATGTATCGTCCTCAACATCGGTATCGCTATCATCGCGTTTTCTCTTTTTAATATCAATACTTGTCGCAACGTTGGCCTTGCTTTTGATCGATTCCTCACCGACAGTTTTTTCAACAATTTGTTTCAAAGATTCGATGACAGGTTTAAAATGTCTCTCCAACGCAATATCTTCCTCTATTTTACCAGTTTTCAAAGCATGATATTTTTTTCGAATCAAATTGCTCGTTTTCGCAATCTGGTTCGCGATCCTCTCACGATTCTTGCTGCTATCCATGTTGAGGGAACGTTGCATAGTTGATGTATCGACAACAATTACTAACCACGTTACAATAGCGCGAACTCGTTAAATTCTTTTCTGTATGATCACCCATCTGTAAGAGCACAATCCTTATTTATTACTAAGCATCCATTTTTGCAGCCAACAAGTACGACATAATTCGCAGAAATCCTCGTACAACATGTCAGTGGTTACATGATCGCTGTATACATGTGTGGCGGTCGTCTCACGCTCACACAAGAAAGTGTTTTATCAATAGTTCCAGATCTTTTTTAAAATAAATTCTCATCATTCTGGGCACTTTGCAAAATATACGACTAAATATTTATTTAAAAATATTCTAAAAGGCTGGAATTATAAAATTCTTTGAAAACTGTTAAATTTATAGTTTGTGTTTCTTTTATCCAGATAGAAGGTGCCACACGGAAAATTAACACCTTATATACAATACATTAGATGTTTTTTTCTTAATAAAATCAATGAAAAATTATTTCTAAAAATTATTAGAAACTATAAAATTATTGCAAGTATATAAATGGAATTATAAAAACTTTTGATTTTTTAAAAATGAAATGCTATTTCTATAAAGATTGTATTTGTGCTCACAGTTTACTGGCGATAGACGTTTGTAAAATTTCAATATCTGTAAAATTTCAATAGCATAATTGCAGTGTAGGTCCGATATATACAGACTCTGATATTTCATTTTCCAAATTCTTTCTTCAAGATCTTCATTGAAGTTGCTATGTGTCAAATAGCGGCTCGACATTTCTCTCGATCTAATTGTATCATCTGACAATGAGGAAAAAAAAGAATAGCGAGACAATTAAAATTCTTTAGACATTTTTATACGTCTTCTCAACTAATTGTAAAACAGAAATTATTGTGGTTTTATAGCAATATAATGATATATTCCAGAATATAACAAAGTTTAAAAGATATTATAAATTTAAATTTAAAAAATCTCTCTCTCTCCCTCTCCCTTCCTCCTCCCCTTCCTTTCACTCTCCCTTTCACTCTCCCTAAATGTAAATTTATTTAAAAAAACTTATTCAGAAAAAACTACTGCACCTATCATTTATTCAATAAGAATTTTGATTTTACCGAATCAAAATCAGTGAGATTTGATGTTGATAAAAATTAAAATTATTACACTTCTTTTTATAATTAAATTTTATGAAAGTTTCATCCATTTTTGCAATTATTTAAATTGCTTATAAAAAAAACAAGAAAACAAAAATATAGAAGTTTTATTAAACATAGTTTATCACAAACACAATAACTAAATTTGATTGATACAATAGTAAATGCCCAGCATATTTAAAAAATTATCTAATTAATATATCTTTAATAAATGTTGAGCTATTAAGATCAACAAAAGGTTCGTTTTAATGAACATTGTTCAAACTCGAACTATAACATATTGCGATAAATAATACAATCATAAAATATAAATAATTATTAACATATTAGAAA